GGAAAGCATCAATTAATACATTACAGTACTAAAATGATTAAAATAGGAATTTTATTGACTCTTGCCTAGTATCATAATATAGCCTATTCTACTGAAAGTAGGCCTGTTTGACTTAACCATGTTTTGTGTTTATTTGTGATTTTTCTATCAATACGAAAAAGGAGATAAGAGCAGTTTATTTTATAAATAATGCAAGTATGGCTTCAAAATAATGATTATATAATTCCAAATGAATAGCACTTCATTATGTTATGATTTTAGGGATTGCCCGTTTTAACCGACCTTTTGAGTTATCCGACCTAGGTCCGGTCCCATAAGGGTCAGTTTAAAAGAGGGTCTACTGTAACAGACCCCTTGGTATTTAGTCTATTTCAAACACTTTTTTGGCAAATGCCTCTTTTACCGGGAGAAAACCAGGTTTGAAAATTGTAAAAAATAGCAAAGTGCCAAAAATACCAAATACAAAAAAGTGCCAAATACCCATTTTTGGGTAAACCAAATTGAATATAATAATCCAACCTAACTTAATTTAGCCTAATCTAATTTAACCTAACCCATGGCTAAAAGTGCCAAACATGGACCTAAGTTCCGAAAATGACCGATTTTGGGTAAACGGAGGTTAGGTTCTAGGTTAAGTTAGGTTAGTATTAAGTTATTTAGACATTTACGTTTGTCATTGTCACAAAATGAGATGATATGGATAGTAAAAAAATGTTAAAATCAATTAAAAAAAAATTGCTTATATTGGCATAGGAACTAAAACTAGGTAATCAGAATATCAAATTTATATGCAGCAGAGCTTAAAACCTTCAATTAAGTTAGTAAATATTTTCTATTTTACATGTCACCAAATACAGTTAGGCCTAATGGTAAACAGTCCGGTACCATTTTTATTTTATGTAAAATACAAGTTAATGTTGTTACATGAAAAACCTAAAATAAATTATAACCTTTAAACACCATTAGTTCAACAAATCATATATCCTATTTGAAGGTTAAATGATTATTAACTTATATTGGTAAAAGTAAAGAAGAAAAGGTGAAAAACAGCTCCACTTTGTTTCAGAGATTGAAAAAAATCACAGTTTAAATGTATCTATGTAGTTTGACTAAATAATAACGACTAAAACTAAAAAGTAGATAGCAAATCACATCCGCGGTTTCAATAGCTTTAACCCTCCGAGCTTCGAGAGTCTACGTGTAGACGAACAAAACCCCCTGTGGGGCGTCGAGCATCTACGCGTAGACAAACACGCAGTGTTCCGTTCAATTCGTTCTAAATCCAATTCGACACAACGGGACCTGATTGATATTGGTATCACCGTTAATGGCAGAAGTTGGGCTTTCTCCCAATGTCTGTCTCGAGCCACTAAACTGTATGTAGCGATTGTAGCGCAGCTGTAAACTTTGTCAATGTTTTGTTTGTTGACGTTGACAGTTGCTTGTTTACTAACACTTGTAAATGGTGGATTGTTGTTTTAGGTGTCGTGTTAATTCCTAAATATGGATAGTAGTGACATTCGTGATTGTTTATTTGAGAGTGGTAATGAGTTAGATGATCCTGATGAAGTGGACATAGACAGTGATTTAGAAATTAATGAACTTCCAACATCAGATTCAGACTAGCCTATATTATTATCAGATTCTGACCATATAGCACAGAAAATCACTTTTACACCTATAACTTTTTGTTACTATACTTTACCTATAATAATGTTTATATATTTGTAATCTACATAAAATTTCAGACAATGTGGCTATCTTCAAATAGTTGTAGGCCTAGAAATATTTTATTTTGACTTAGCGCGAAGCTAAACTTTTTTTAGATTTTTTATATTTTGATTTTTTTGTGTATAATTTATAATTTTTTTATTATTTTTCATTGCAAAATAACACCTATATAATTGTAGCCCATGAACCTGTGAACAAAATGATATACAAAACATCATAGTTTCTGACATTTAAATAGGCTCTAGGTTATGTTTAATGAAATCCTGCAAATCAGTAAAAAACAGCTTGACGCCAAGGCGTTTTTGCTTGACGCTCGGAGGGATAAAATAAGATATTTTGCAACTTTTTTGTCGCTATGGGCAGAAAATCCAAGATGGCCAGCGGTCCAGCCGACTTAAATTTTTAATCAAATTTCATTCAAAGTATCAAACTAGCCAATCTTTTTCCTCGTTAGCATAATTGTAAAAGCTACTGGGTTGGTAGTGATGTGGGCCGGGTAAATACCCAGTGGATAAGGAAATTTATCCCGGACCAGGGTAAATGCCTAAAAGTGTGAGTAGGCCTATTTATACGGGAAATAGTAAGGCTCTCACTGGAGTGTGGTAACACATAGATTGCTAAAGCACCAGGCACCACTACACTTTTTAAAAAAAAAGCTGAACATTTTTGTACTACTACAGCAAGAGATAAAAGCACAAAAAAATTTAATTTACAGCAGAGACAATAATAAATGAATTAGAACATTGGTTTAAAATAAATGGACTATTGCTGAATGCTTTCAAGACAAATTTAATTCACTTCAGAAGTATACAATATAGAGATGGTGAAATAAAGATGACAGTTGGCAACAACGAGTTGAATAATCAGAAATCTGTAAATTATTAGGTGTAATATGCGATGAAAATCTGAAGTGGCATGAACATAGTATACCAAGAGACTAAATACAATTTTGTTTTAACATGAGCTGCCTTGCACACTGTACCAGCATGGAAACTAAACTAATATTGTACCATGGCTATTTTTATCTGTTAGTGAAATATGGAATAACGTTAAGTTTAATGGGGTTCATCAAATTTAATAAAAAAACTTTTTTAAAGTACAACAGAAAATCCTAAGAGCCATGACCCTCAAACAGCCTGGAAGCTCATGTAAAGAAAAGATGTTTAAAAGTTTAAAGACACTTACAGTACCATGTATATACATGTTTGATGATCTGTGCCATGTTAAAAATAATTTCAATTGGTAGGCCTACTATTGGAAAAATTGCCACAATTACAACACTATAAACCGGAATTTACTTATCACTCTACGACATCTTTAGAAAAGAGCATTCACTACATGGGAATTAAATTGTACAATAAACTCCCAAATGCCTTGAAAAGTGTAGCGATAAGTCCAACACAATTTGCAGATAATGTTAAGAGCATAATGTTAAAGGCCTATTATAAAGTTACCTAGGCCTAGTGATTTTTCAAATGATTCTCAAATATTATAAGCTGGTCCTGTTCCTCGCCATAATATTTGATGATAGGTAAAAAATTTATTTCCAGTGTTAACCTTGTTGTTTTTTTAATGTTATATAGATAGATGTATATTTTTTGTTATGCAATTTTACGAATATTTTATTGACTAGGCCTACCATAAATGTTTTGTACATTTTTTATGTTTTACACTATGTTTCATTATTAAATGATATATGTAGATCATGTTATTTAGTTTTAAACTTGACAATATCTTTATACATTTTCAGTTAGGCTATGCAATATGTTTCTTAAATGTCGCAAAATGTTTTGGTCATCTATATATATAATTCTGTAAGACCAAATTTTTACCAGAAAATTGTGGACGTCTGGTAAGTCGCAGAAAGGTGGGAGGGGTCTTAAATTAAAGGTCTTGACCCCAGGGACTCGGGGAAAAATAACAGAATTCCCATAAAATTACCAGAAAACGAGATATAACGTAAAATATCCACCATAAGAAATGCATGGGGACTGAAAAACGTCTGCATTCTATCAGCTGTTACTTATTTATTTGCAATGTTTACATTTATTCTGAAAGTCAATGTTCGTAAATAATGTTTCAAAATGAATTGTGTTTAATTTTTTTGTTTTTCCGTTTTTATAATGAGTGAAGTTACTAGACAGGGTAGGGGAAGACCTGCAAGACGTGGAAGAGTGTCCAGGAATTCAACAGACTTAAGAAATGCAAAAGAGAACGTCATGTAGGGCCTAACTGTGAAAGAAATCCAGAAACTGTTTTACAACCTATCTTTAGAAGAACGCTGGAAAATGAGATGAGTGTTGTTTCTCACAATCTAGGTCCTCTTAAAGCACTTGCATGCATTGTGGCGCATTTCACTTCGCAGAGGAGGCCACAAATGGAAATTTCAACGCATGTTGCCACAATGGGCATGCCACAACCACAAGTAAATGACGAACTAAAATAACTGTTTTTACATGATTCAAACTTTATAAAAAAACATAAGGCAATACAACAGTGCAATGGTTTTTGCGTCGCTTTCCGCTACACAAAAAGAGAGTTCCGGGAAATGGGCCTTACTGTCCTAAAATTCAGGGACAAATTCATAGATATATTTCTGACTTACTACCGCGAAATGGGGAGTTGCCTTACTAATAATTAATAATAATTTTGACCTTTACATGTGGTTCTCAAAATGGAAACTATAACAGAATTCGTAAGATTACAAAACAAATCTTCAATTTGAAACTAGAAAAGATGTGCAATGTTTGGCTGTATGATTTCAGCTCTGATTCGTCGTTCTCCGGGCTCAGGCCAAATCGCGTGCACGTTTCCATTTCTTAATATGTTGTGTTATTGATTTAATCATTATTTTACAATTGTATTTCATTGACACATCAGAAGCATTTAATATACGACTCCCAACGGAAGGAAAACCAAGATATAAAACAAAAAACACTGTTAATTTTAAGTAACATAAAATTGATAATTTTAAAAACTTAGGCCTATTTAGAATATTTGTCATTTTATATATGTTTTTTTTTATTGTAGTCTAAATTAGGGGCTATAGCCCCTATAGGCCACTAGTTATTACTAAATACGTTTAAGATTGTTATTTAGTTTTAAGAAAGGACTATTTTAAATGTTATAAGAAGATAACGAAGCACCTGTACGCTCTGTACGTTATGTGCCAATAAACATGATTACGATTATGATTATGAGATTTTGTAATTCGCCAGTTTTGGTTGCTAACTATTTATTAGCCTTTAAGTCATATTTTTCTTTTTCAGTTTTATGAATGACTCGGCATACCGAGAGGCCATAGAAAACTCTGCAAACTATAACACAAGACTCTGCATTGAAAGAAGAATGAGAATGCCGTTTTTAGATCCACAGACAGGTAAAATGTGTTTAACTCGACTCAAAGTTGCATGATAAAGTTATATCATATGAAAGTTTGTTGCAGAGTTGTAGGAATATTAGTTAAAATCTGGTATCAATCAATCAATCAATTAATTTTCTTGGTAGTTTAGCTGAAAAAATAATTGCGATCTAGGCCTATTTAAAAATGCATTTATCATATTCTTTAGAAAATTTATTTGTGTCTGTACATTTTATATTTAATCTCCAATTGTTAAATAGGCCTAGCATTTTATTTAAACGAATAAAATTTAATAGAATTTAGGAAATTTGAATATTTCATGGTGTTGTTGGGGTAATGCCACGATTAGGTACTAGAAAAATACCGATATGGATCGATATGCTATTAGTATAGGATTCGGGCCAACAACGTCATTTGTTTATGTTTATGATCCATACCGGTATTTTTCTAGTAATCGTGAGTAATGCTGATTGCAAAGTAGGCCTACTAACTTTCAAAAGTAACAGCTGTTTGTTCACTATAGCTAAACAAGCCATAATATTTTTGGTTGTGAATTTGTTAGCCTAAAAAAATTGTGGAGTATGACAAAATATTGTTCATCACTCAGGCTAAAACTTATATCTGACCCTCGCTATTTTCAATTTAAGCTTAAGCTATTGTTGAGAAGAGTCACTTTACAATAGACCCTTGTAAGTAAATACACTAAATTACACAATGTTTGATATAGTTTCATGTTATAATTTACTTTACAACAATTTGATTTTATGTATCCTACTAATACTAAATAACTGTTTTAATTATGAATCTTAGTTGCTTACTCTTTGTTGGATTCAGGTTAAAGGTGAACTTAGGTAAGCGTTTGAAGAGTACGTTATAATGATTAATAAATAGCATCATTCATGATTTAAATTTGTCTACCAGCTTGTAATATTTCCAATGTTAATGGAATAAAAAAAAATAAAACTTTATATTTAACTAATCCATGTTCTAAAAAATGTGATCTGGAGTTTTATTCTTAACCTAAATTGTCTAGAAAGACGGAAACAGAGATTTAATGATCTGGATTCTGGTGTGTTCAAGAAGAAAGACGATTTTCCATTTTCAATGAACCGAAGGGGTAAGATTTTGTTGATTTTCAATATCATCAAACATTCACCAAGCATTTGAATTAAAACACATTTTTCTTCCTCACGTGTGTAATTGTTTCACAGTTCATGAGAATTTTCTTACCATCTGTTTTTATGTTTTTACATCTGTTTTATTTCCTGTAATGGATCCCTACGATGCGTTTTTAATTCCCTGATATTAAATGTATTTGTAGGTATAGCGCAAAACCATTCCAACTTGTTTATGTCGGCTCGGCAACGATTACCTGGACTCAACGAAGGACAGGTGTACACATATCCGAGCAAGCGGTGGCGCAAGAAGCGACGCCAATACCTCATGATGCCGAACAGGCGCAAGGTCTGTAATCAATGTAGCCATTATTGGCTTAAGTGTGTTGTGAATGAATTATAATACGCAAATTTACTTGTCACCAGTTTTATGTTTTAATGTGTTGGTACACCTGCGTGTGTCCAAGATTTTCTGAATAATCTTCTTGACGTGTGGATTATTTAGTAGACTTTGCTAGTTACAGTAACAGATAAGAATTCATATATTGCTAGTTAATAGAGTAGAAAGATCTTAATTAAATATTATTTCAAAGCCATCTGTCCTTTTACCTTCTTGGTCGCATTTATATTAATTATTAAATTTGTTTATTTGTACTTGCACAAATTTTGATTGTTACGTTACAATTTATTTGTTGTTTCTGAGATTTACAGTTGTCTGTTAACAATTGATATTATGTATAGTGTAATGTAGGCCTACTGTGTAATACTATTTTCGTATTGTAAAATTGAGTGGTTGATCAGCTGTTCCTGGTCTTAGCTACGTACCACCATTATGCAATGTGTGTTTGTAATATTTAACTGTCAATTGACCACTCGATTGTCCTGGCAGGATATAGACGGAGTTGAGAACAGCGAGCATGTGGCTAACATTGTGGAAAGCTCGGTTTTGGCTAACAGCGAAGACAGCAAGGACAGTTCTGGACTCAAGGATGATGCCACTGCCAAGGTGCAGGTGGGAAAGAAAGTAGGCCTCATATCTCAACTGATTATAATACTCTTTAGACATGACGGAGGTGCAAAATGTGCTACTAAAATCCTAAAAAAAAGCAAAATGCATTGCTCTCAAAACTTAAATTAGAAATTATAATGTTTGTTCCCTGCATCAAAATTTGGTTTGTGTCAGCTGAATTATCCACAGCATGTTTTTCATTTAGCTTTTTCTTGTAGAAAAATGTATTTGAAATATTGAGGATGTAAGTTATTTTAATTTGGAAAATAGAATTAAATTTAGGATTGTTGAAAGACATTGTGCACCTCTGTTTGAATATTGATAATCACTAAAACTATATTAAGACTAGGCTACATATAACAGCATATGGGGTCATGCTTCGATAGACCTAATCACATAGTAAATTAGTTTCTTAATTTAAAGAATTTGTAGTCTATGTACTGACGCCAAGCTTTAGAGTGTTTCTTGTTTAGTATATTTCAATCCCTCAATACAAAACTTATACAATTCACTTTAGATATTCTTTGTTTTTCAATTGGCCACGGCTTAATACTTGTCCAAAGACCCATAACAACCATCATGAGTAACATAATTATACTTGCTTAGTTATCTCTACAATAATGGAAAACTGAGTATTAAACTGAGCAAAACTGCTGAAACTAAACCTTTTCAGTCAATCAAGGAGATTGTTCAATTAAGGAGTGAAGCTTACTGGTAAAATAAAATGTACCTACTTGATGATTTCTATCACACGTGTTGAATGCCAATGAACTATTTTCATTATTAGAAGTACAGACCTGAGCTTTGGGTGACAGCTCTGTTGATTGTGGGTTGTAATCAGGTCTAATGACTGTGACAGAGCTTTATGGGTAAATCCTATCTCAAATTTTAATGGAATGTGGAAACCGAAACTAACAACAGATACGTAACATGTAGAAAAATAGTACATAATGTCTTATTTCTTCCTAAAATACCTGAAAATTTATTTGATTTACCACTATAAATTCGGAGGTTGCTTAGATTTTTTGCAAATAAATTTTAAATGGTGAGAAAATCAACCAAAATTGATGGTGATATTCTGAAGAGAATAAAATTTCCTACAAATTACTATTATGCATTTCTTGAAAATACTTGCCAAAGGCAGCCAAAAGTTGCCTAAAAAATGGGAAAACCCCAGTTTTCAATGTATTTCTTATGGGAAACATATATTTTTTATTTGTACCATAAATCCTAACAAAAAGAAACTGATAATTATTTGCAAATCTACAGGGAGTGAGCTTTTCAACAACCTGATTAATAAAATCGGTCCAGTAAAATGTAGATTTATAGTTGTACAAAGATTTTCAAAACTTAATTAGGCTATTATAAGATGAGATTAGTAGATAGTTATCAAAAATAGTTTTTGTTCAAAATTAAAATTCATTTGAGTTTCGCTTAGCAGACCTCATGAGAATTGCCTGTGAAGAATCACTGGTCTCTAGCGCTATCAAAACCCATGGAGGTTTATCTAATGTTTTGGGTGTTCCCAGGACGCATGGTTCTATGATGAGCTAGACCTGCAGGCCATGGATGGCTTTGATGAGCCAGATCAGGATTCTGACTACGACTACGAAGAAACTTACACCAAGAGGCGCAAAAGGAGAGGGGCTGGCGGAAAACAATCCAAACCCTCAGAATCAACTAAGAAAACCAAGGTAGACACTAGTGTTGAATATTCATTAGCATAACCGGGTAGATGAGTGATTGAAGTGCTCGTCTAACAAGCAAAACTGAACCAAGCAGTTATTGATTGCAGTTATGGTCCTGGCGAAAGCTGATCTTTGTCGGAAACAAAGCTATACTGATAATTTTACTCTATTATACTCTTCTTGATTTCATAATCAGCTTAAAATACCTCTGTAAAATACGTGTCTGTCTTAGTATAGTTATCAAATTATTTTGAGGTAAAACATAGTTGTAAATGAAAGCATTATAACTTAAACTAAGATAATAATAATTTTTTAAATAATGTAAAGAGTAGCCTAAATGAACATGCCAGATAAGTATTGCTTAATCTGTTGTATGAGTATAAGATTTTCTTACATTTATTTTTGAAGGAAACTTATGTTCTGCCTAGACTGTATATTTTTAATGATTTAACATTTTAAATAATGTAATAAATAATTTTTGGTAGATATTACACTTCTGATTAGTTTACTTTGTTGACCAGTTTACATTAAATGTGCTCAAAAGCCATTGAAATAGTGTAGATTAGATTTACATACCATGATGTTCCGTTAGGCGGCTGCCACTCCTGGCCGAGGACGCAAGAAGGGAATGCAGTATGCAGCTGATCCTAACGACACCGACAAGCCGTTCAGTTGTGATCGTAAGTCTTGATTTTCAATACATTCGGCTAAGTTATCCATATTTTAGAACCTAAATCTTACATGTTTTCATTATAACTCGTACTTGTGGCTAGGGATATTATATTTCTTCTATTTCTGTTAGTTCTGATATTTTCTGTTCCTGTAACATTAACTTTTCTTTGTACCAAGTTTATAGGATTTTATACAGGTCAAACTAAAAAAAATTAAATGTTTTTTCCATTGTATTGAAACCATTAGTTTTGTAGCTTAAGTGCTATACGTTTTTTATGGATTGCTTAGTTGGCAGTTAATGAGTAGGTAAATAGACAACTGAATAATAATCAATCATAGAACGATGTGTCATAGTTCATTAGTGATTGGTTTACTAGCTCAGTGATAATTGTTTGTTGGGGAACAAGATTCCAAGAGAAACTTCCACATTTTAAAATATGAATAATAACTACTAAACAGGTTGCTTGAAACTAAACACTGTTTACAAAATAGTCCTGTTTTACATTTTAAATTTTATTTTTAGAATCAAATAAGCTCAATAATTATCATGTTCTTTTTGTCCCAAAAGTTTTAATTTCCATGTAGGCCTAAGCCATCCATAAATTAAAACTCATATATTCTTTAACTATCTTTTAGGAAGTATTGGTGTAGGTCAACATGGTGAAGGAAATTTCAAATCAATCAAAATGCTGTTCAAGGTGTTTCAGGCATATTTTTTTTTATAAAGTCAAAATTTAAAATACTCCTGTTATGGGTTCAAATGCATACATTGTCTATTATATGTAGTAATTTTATTATAAATAAATTTACACCAATGAAACTATTATTGCCTTAACTTTAGTCAATATTACTAATAGTGTGGTCAGTAGAAAAACTTTATTCCACTTTGGTATGTTCTTGTAGATGATTTCCACTTCACTTCCTATAAAACCTATTGACTTTGTTAATCTGCCACTTGCAAACGAATAATTCATTTTCAATTGACAATGTTTTTTTTTTGTCTGGCTTAGACCTTAAGCACTAAATAACTTCTTGATCAGCATCGTATGTGTTATTAAAAATACTAAAAATACCTCTAACAGCACTTGTAATATATTTACACTTAAATACTGTTGACGATAAATATACAAGTCCAATCAAAATCTATCACCATTTACCATCTTTTATACCTATCTACCATCTTGTAAGTCATCAGTATAAGTATAAATATATTATTACAAGTGTTATAAAACATATTTTTTTGTACTTTCAGGCTTTACCGCTAGGCAAAACAATACCTAAGATTACATTTAAGATGTTTTTCTTCCTTTCAACCCTCATATTAAGATTTTGGATTTTCCGTTGGCCACACTGTTGGATATAACAAAAATAGGGAAGGTTGAATTATTGTGCTATAATTTATCCAATATGCAGGGTTATCCATACTTGTCGTATACTAATGCATCCTGTGAAAGACCTATAACCAAATAATAAATATACCACAAATAAAAAAAATCCAATATGCTCTTAAAGAAGTTTTTTCTTCATGTGTAGAGGTTAACATAACTTACCAGAAAAAGTTAAGTAAATAGATCCACAAGTCACAAAACACTGTTATTTCGTCCTAATATAATATGACTTTTTCAGATAATATATGAAATTTTGTTCATATCTTTTAGCTCTTGGTATTTAATTTCCTCAGGTGAACTAGCTAAGTTCTACCCATTGAGAAAAAACTTCTGAACCAGCCACTTGGCTTGAAGGCCACATTTGTTGAAATGTAGATATTGAATTATTGCAGCCTTAAACTCTTAACAGCATTCCCTTTCTTCTTGTGTTTGGTAAAATTAATACTAATATCAGGTGAAACTCTAAAGCTCTTCTACTTGATTAGGATTCAATTGCAACACATTCCGACCCTTGGCGGTGTTGATTGGCACCTCAACAGCATTTTGATTGGAGATGATTGACGATCTATCCCTCAACCTCCAGCTCTTATCAATCTGTTTGGCTTTCAGCTTACATCCAGCATTCTATCCCCTGATTGAACCTCGCCAACTGCTCTACTTTTACAATGTTTTTAATATTTAAAAAAGCGAATTTCTAACATTTTTACCTACTAAGGTAATCAAAGATGTACATATAGTTTAATTGAGAGTATGTAATATTTTTTTCTCTAATCAGGTGTGACTTGCTGATCAATGCTATTTTGTTTAGCCACATATCAGCATATACCTGTTTGATTTCCTCAATTTTTGTGAATTCATATTAACAGTTTATATGGCAGATTTGCGAGGTTCTACTCTAATATATAACCTACTTCTAAATATTTCCTGCTAAAGCAAAAGGTGGCTGCTAGTTATTTGATTCCTATTTTGCTATGAAAACGGTGCACAAAATAACATATCAGGCCTATAATATAAAAATATATTTTGAGAACATTTTACTTTTTTTGTTGGTTAAAATACAATTTTGTTAATCCCACAAAGAATCTTTCAAAAATTAAATAAATATAAACCTTTTACAGAAATAGAAAATTGTTTGCAAGATATAGTAAATGTTATTGTATTATTATCACAAGCTTATTAGACAAATTTAGTTTTTGTTTTTAGTTACTGAGTTAGTTATTCATCTATTACTGTTTGTTCCTTGGGACTTATCAAATTGTAAACACATTATTAGGCACACAATGACAATAAAATGTCCCAGTTTACTAGCCAAGCGTTTTACAGAGGTGCACAATTATTGATACTACTGTGCTTTCTCAAGAGATCGATCTTACTTAGGCCTTAATGGAAACAATTAAAATGGGAATAACTCTCCAAACCATCATAACATTTCAGTATACACTATTCATGGGTTTTATTTGACTCTTGAATAAAGGTATTTTTTCCTATCCTTAGTGGTTTAATAGTGACATTGAAATTATGCCAAAAATTAGCCATCCTTTGCTTTACCAGTCTAAATGGTGTAATTTTAATTTCTCTAGTGTTTTCAGCTACATAGTTTAGTTTAGTTATTATGGTATTGAGTTTTTCTTAACTATGCACCCTTAACTTTGCATGTTCACAACCTTTCAATTACACAAATATTTTACACTGAGGTTTTACACTTGTGTATTTTACCACATTTTTAGTATGGTTACTAATTCAATTTTTTTCTTTGTTTTGAGTAATGTGTAAATAAAATCGTGAACATTTCTTGATACAGGAGCTTCAAGAAAACTCTGTAAAAATGTTCATATCAAACTTAAAGCCAAACTTTATTATTTTTTCTCCTAAACAAAAGAACCCTCAAAGGATTGCCTTTGGATTTTATCTTTGACTATTAATACAACATTTTATCCTTAGAATGTTTTATCTGCAACATCATGTGCGATTCAATTAATCGATTTCCTAACATAAACCTCTAGCATTAAAGGTGTAGCAGATAGCTATTTAAAGTTCACATAGTTTTATATTAACAGAACTGGTAGACACCCTCTTTTCCTAAACCAAAACCAACACAAACCTAACCAAACATACAACAGGAAGAAGTGAATGACAAAAATAGTTAATAAAGAACTAAACTCACAAAGAAGGAATGTACACAACTAACTGACCCAATAGAAGAGGTACAGGCTGTTGAGAGCACATGAAAAGTTCATAACTCAATTTATTTTGTAATTCACCCCTTTAAGTGTCTTCAGAAGTACCTGTGATGAAGCAGCGAAATATCAAATTAATTGTGCCATGACTTTTTGAGTGCCGAAAATTGCCTCTAACCTATGACTATGAATATAACTAAACATTCCATCGCCGTGTTAAAGTTGTGGCCAGTTTTCGAATGAGAATGAACAAGTTGTATTAAGCCACCAGTAAAGTGTGCTGTAATTCACTGATTTGTATCAAATACACACAATTTTTGATCAAGCCAAATTGAATATAAGGAATTGGGTAAGGTTATTATAGGGTGTAGAACCTTTTATGTCTGATCAGCAATCTAGTAACAAAAATTACATGATGGAAAGTTGAATTTTAGACTAAAGCACTCTGAGTGGCTCATTCAACTTTGTTCTTTTAAAATAAATATTGTCTACACCTGGTCCAACGGAATATCAGGAATGTTAAAGTTTTTTAAGGGGTGGGGGGGCTTTCCTAAATGGGGAAGAGTCCAATATGGCACAAGAAAGTGTTGTAAAAAATTTTAGAATGCTTCACTGTCACTGACAGCATTTTCTTCTGAGGAAGGTATGAGTTGAAGACAAAGCTGTCAGTGACAGAGAAATCTTAGTTGTGTATATTAAAGTTTTATCTTCTTGTGCCAGATTGGACTATTCCCCATTCAGGTAAGCCTGTAATTCTCCCAAAAAAATCCTAAAATCTTAGGCCCTTGTGCTCTTTAGTGAATGCTAAATTCTTTTCTCGGGTAGTTTTGTGTTCATTCCTTCTTCCGTATCCCTATAGTATTAGTAATGTTGATCCTGTCCCGGTTACGGTGTAGCCTCTTGTCTGGTAGTCAGCTGTTAGCAAGGTGAAGGGTACCAGCTAGTGTTGTTGTAGTGTGTGGCGCCCGGTACAAAACACGACCCGGGCTCACCTACCACTACACACACTCACACAAGGAGGGGAAGTGCGCTGCGGTGACGGGGGAAGAGGAGGCTAGCAGTGACGCCACCACGGCTAGTGCTGCCACTACGGCCGCACCGGCTCCTCCCACCCCCCCTCCTCAGGAATCTTCTTCGTCAGGTTGGCAGACTCCCCACTACCAAGACAGTTACCTCACCTTTCTAAATACCCCTGGTACGCTCTTCTTGCCTTTCTATCTTTACGCTCAACAGGTTGCTTGCTGATTTTTTCCTTTACTTTTTTCTGTGCTTGCGCTTATTTCAAATTTGAGTTGGAGGTTGACTTATTGTATTTTTTATGTCTATTGTCTGTTGTGTTTTGATTTTTTTTTGCTAACCTGTTTGTTGATTTTTAGCGTGTTGTTTAGTGTTGCGTTATATGTTTTGCACAGTGGGAACTACTAAGGTAAAGTATTGTGATTTATTTTGTGTCATTTTGTTTTTGTTTGTGATTTTGTGTATGCCTAGTTAGAAATGTCAATAGTGAACCAATAATGGTTTTAATGGTTGCTTGTATTGCAGTTTAGACTCTTAATTGATTTGTTGTTGAGAATATCTAAGCTGTAGTGAAATTTAATTATTTTTTTATATCTATTCAATGCTGCAGCCAATTAGTGCTTGTAACATTTTATCCTTAAACACTTCCTCCACAATCGTCCTTACAATGGATTTGAGGAACCTCAAACCCAATTTGTTTTTCTTTATAATGGATATTTTGACAATAACACAGTTAATAAATGTTACAAAAGATTCATGTTAAGTACCAACTGTTTAATGTCTGAAACTGATAGTTATGTTTAACAAAATTGAGCTTTGCAAGTATTTAGTCATTTAGTGAGGTTTCTTTAGTGGTCAGAGAGTAGGAATTACAACCTTAAGTCCCATGTTTAGATCCAGCTAATCAGAAATGTGATCATGTAAATTACCCATAGGTCCACATATATCCACAAGGAAAGGTCTCTCTACTAAGAACCACTTTCTCTGAATCAAAGAACAATGAACTCTTAACTCAAAGCCAATAGGTATTCTTTTTGGATAAAAGAAAACATAAACATAAAATACCCTCGCCGCAGCAAACCTGCTGACTAAGCGAATTTCTATTTATTATCTGAATTGATTTTCAATTAAAACTATTTAAATAACATTAGGTTTAACAAGTACCTAGGTTTGCTGCTACAAGGAAACTGAAACTAATAGTGTGTTTTGGTAAAATATTAATAGCTTAGTATAAAATAAATAAATTTGCCAAGTTTGATCAAAATATATCTATAAACAAGTAAACTACAACATTTTACAATATTCTCCATAAGAATAACATGGGAATTTTGAATTTACAATTTTTTAATTTTCTCCGTTACCAATAAACGTACAAAAATACTTTTATATACTAAATTATTTGTTATTTTAAGCTCTTTAAGAAGGTCTAGAGAGAAATTGGGAAATTTTGTGTTTTGAGGGTCAAAAATGAGAAAAACCAATTTTTACCACATATAACCCCCCGTAAAACCCCGTTCCCATGGTCCGATCATGCTGGTTCGCGAACTCATTCAAGTTTATCCCGCCTTACACCTTTAAACCAAATTTCATCAAAATTGGATAAAAATTACTCAAGTTATCGTGTTCACGGACACATATATATATAAATCTCTATAAATATATATATATACATATACATATATAAAAATTTGAACGAATGGTGTTTTTGGTCTCTGGGAACATCAAAATGAAAAAGTAAATCGGTCCCGGGCCTAGGTCTTACCATGCCACCTATGGTAATAGCTACTTCCCTAAAGGGAAATTCGCTAAAAAACATAAAAATCATGTTGTATTTTAGGATGTGAAATTAGATTTTATCCCATCTTATAAAATGGCATAAAACGTAAGAATATTTTAGGACGCCATACAAAGTGAGACAGGTATTTAATCCCAAATATAGTCTTCTTGTTATCATTACTATCTCATTAACTTTCAATATAGAAGCTTCTTGTCAACCACACAAGTGCTTTCTCATTCATTCTGCAACCTCAGTTATAAAACAATTTTATCTGTGTGTGTGTTTGTGTGTGTGTGTGTGTAAATTAGGCTGGTACTTAAAAAATATTACATCTTCAGTTTTCTTTTTAAAACTAGATCAACATTTACTTACTAACTTTTCATTTTTTTTTTTCAAATATTGGTATTTAAGGCAAGTTGATAGGGATTGTTGACTTAAATAAAAAAATAAAAATATTGTATACGTACATTAAAAGTAAAAACATTACGTTAAACCAAACCTTGGACTATTGATATTAGGCTAGTAGACACTCCATCCCCATGTTAAAGATGTTGCCAGTTATAGAAACAAATGAAAATTGTTGAATCAAGCCACCATTCAGAGAGGACTGATGCCAATTTGCTGATTTCTGTTGAATACGTCTACCTTGAATGACATGATAAAGGGTCAACTTATTGTAAACCATATTATCTTAGACATCACCTCAACTAAGATAGTACCAAATACTGAGGGAGAGAATGGTATTTTAGTATTTTACTACAACCCGCTTTGTTAGAGCCCCATTCGACAATCTGAATCTAGTTGAATAGAAATGTTGACTACAGGTGGTTCATGTTAAAGAATTTAGGCCTACCTCAGTATCCAACAATCAACGATAAAATATAACTTTTAAATATGAACGTCAAACAGTTGTTCAAGAGGATAAACGTTTCATGTGATACATGTGCAAGTAACTAGATTAGTTTTAAACACTTTTGCATTCACACCAAGATTTATTTGATTTTCAAACTTAGTAGAATATTATTCACTTGTAAATTGATTAAGGGGTAAAGTAATTAATTGTGTTTCACTGGTGCTCATGGTAACGGATAGAAGCTAACAGAAATGTTCTCATCATCGCTTCAGTGTGAGTTTTGCTGTGTCAGGGATTGTTTGGTCTGCTTTATGTCGAGTCGGTTTTGCCTTGCGGATAAGTCATTTTGTACCTGGGTTCGTCACAGGCTCGCTTTTAATGTTGGAAGTAAGTCATTTCGCTCGGTTAAAGTGTAAAACATTCATATTTTTGGTCAAATCTACAGTTTTTAAGATTACTTAGTCATTTTTGTTTCATCACATTAAATTCCAAAAATAAAAACTTGTACCTGTAGTACTGTTGAGTGATCTTGTTATTTTTGTAGGCAACCACTGGTTTGGAACCTAAGGTTCAGTTTTGAGTCAAAATCAGTTTTGAAGAGTTGATACACTCCTGACCACTTTTGCGGCTCCAGAGTTGAAAGTATATTTTTTAACAAACAATTTGTATTCAACTTGAAAATGAACCTTTAGGTTTGAAACCATTGGTCACCTAACAGGATAAAACGGATAGCTCAACCACCTAACAGGTATTCTTATCCTTTAGTTGTGTAAATATTATTCAGAGACTAAACTAATCACCAAAACTGTTTTTTTCTCATAATGGGATCGAATCCGTTGTTTGTTGGTCATGTCAAAATGTAAGACACCCGTGCCATAAGATCTAAATTACTGTTACAAACTAATTTTGGTATTTTACCAAATGGCAAAAATATAGTCAGTACAAGAAAATAGAGAATTAGAAATCCTAGGCCTTGCAGAGTAGGTTAAGTACTTACTACAAGAGAATATTATAAAAAATAAAACAAGCGCTGTAGGTCTATAGTTCGGCCGCGTAGAAAGCGACCTCCTCTAGCATTGGTTTATAGTCCTCGCCACCCTAAGTTGAGGCAGCTCAAGGCCGCACAGCGTATATCTAGTGCGGCCTTTGACTGCCTCAACTTAGGGTGGCGAGTACTATAGCATTAGCGCGCAGGTTGCTTTCTAAGCGACAAAAAAATTGCTCATAGTGAAAATATCAAGGTCAACTTCAGTATCAACGGGTGTATTATAGTCAAATTATCCTCACCTAATTATCCTCGGTCTCAGCCATTAAGCTTTTGTTTTGGGCCTTGTTGAGACTGCTCGAATGTGAAAAGTTTGAAGTATTCAATATTCAATAATAGAACATCTAACAGCAGTTTAATAGAATATCAGTTATATGTGAATACCGTCTCAGAGTCAGTGTTTAAACAACTAGAAATTGTAATGCTTCCACAAGTATTTAATACCAAGTAAGACCATTCATATACGAAGCGTGAGTCTTAACTTAAATGGTGGTTGTATATAAAACAAGAATTATAAGGACCCATTTGTATTTTAATGTCACTAAGCACGAGTCTTATAGTCGTTTGTAATGTCCCATGTGTAGTGTGTAGAGGTCTAGTGCTGAAGTCACAATAGTAAGAGTGATCACTACTACTTGACTAACCTGGTTGTTTATCTGTTAAGGCTGACCGTTGGAGGGACGCACGGACAGATCACCTCTCTCTCTTACTATTGCGACCTCAGCCGACGAGCCCACCACACACGGGACGTTATATGTCCGGTTATATATACAAGTGTCTTCCCGCCTCACCGCTCGATGGACCGTTACTGTTGACATTGTGTCTGTTGATTTAGCTGTGAAAACTACTGCCAATTGTTATTATTTATTAGGTAATTATATAGTGAATGTTGTGTATGTGAAGGTCGGATCGGTATTTATTCGCATTATTTATTTACACTGAGTTTTAGTTTGTATTTATTTATTTAACCGAGGTTGTGTTTAGGTACATATTTATTCGAGTTTTATTTTGTTTGCTTGTTTGAGTTAGGGCATAATCGAACTCTGTGATAAGTTGTTTTGTTATTTATTCACACATCGCAATACTTATTGGTTAGTCGTAGGGTGATGATGTGTCACTGGATGTGTTCGCTCATGTCGAGGGACCAATCTTGTCATGTATCGTGGCCTTTTATCCACAGTTATTGTCTTTATATGCATGCAATATAAACATTACACATTTTAAACATGTTGTTATTTACCACCTTCTTGCCTGTTTAACCCTTTGAGCCCAAGAGATTTTGTATTGGATTTAATTATGCTTATTTTAATGATATTTAATACTTTTCAACAAACTAGTCGAAATAATTATAGAACAAGTGTTTTATAGACACATACAGTTGTAAGTTTAAGCAACAAGTAGCCTAGTGCGAGATGAATAATTCTATCCAGTCACCCATGACACTAACAGGTGACCTCCTAACAGACCTGGCCAAAGTGGGATTTGAATCTAAGATGCTAATCC